CTGAATGGGCACGTAACGTTGCTCATCTGGTAAAGCCGTTTGTGGTTCATGTGGTTTTATTTTGGAGCTTGTGAATGAGAATTGACGTCTTCATCAATTATAAAATCTATTGTATCTAATGTCTTAATATTAGTGTGTGTGTGTGTGTGTGTGTGCGAGAGAGAGAGAGAGAGAAGGAGAGAGAGAGAGCGCGCATAACAAAGTATTGGCGTTCAGAACGGTGACTGTCCGCCAGGAAACCATCAAAGAGAGATGCAGACGATAAGATTGCCGCCATGGTAGATTTGTCGGAAGTTTCTTCATTCTCAAATGTCTGAATGGATAAACCTTTTGAAACACTTAACTGGATAAAAAAACAAAAAAAATACTTAAAGATTAAATGATGAAAAAGAAAAATTGATTAGGAAATTAGGCGTACCCACCATAAATAACTCCGCGAAACAAGAAGACATCAAAGAAAACAGTTTTGTTTTCATTTTTTTAGCTTGTTTAATACATAATTTAATCTCTTAACACCGCTCTTAAATTATTTTCTAACAACAGCAGCACCAAAAATCTTTAAAGTTCTTTAGTTTTAACCTCAACTCACCTCCACCATCTGATAATCTTTTCCATGATCCTTTTCATATCATTCTTTTTCCAGGAGGAATCTTCCTTAACTCTATTCTTAATGACTTCTTCACACGCAGAATTATTCTTTTCCTATGAGTCATGTTTTCATAACAAAACGAAAGGAACGTGTAAACTATCAATAAAGAAACCTAACAGCGTTGTGAGTCTTGGGTGTAAACTTCTCTTTTTTGTCGATATGAGTTGTGCTCTCCGCACGAGCTGTACACGAATATAGACATTTATTTCTCAATTTTCTATCAGATATAATAAAGTCCAATGCTTATCGACGTTTCGTGATTTTCTCATTCATCAGGACGAGCGATATGAATCTTATTACGAACCTCAGAGTTGACATCGATAAGTGTTGAAATTATATCTGATTCAATATTTGCTGTTTGCCTCTTAATTTCACTAAACTTTGCGGGGTGGGAATTGAAAGATTTAATTCCTTCGCTAATCCAGAGGAATTAAAAAGCAAACAGAAAACTATTCAGAAGTACACGTGGTTATTTTAAAACGAAGTTGGATTTAGTGAAGGCTTTTGGTTGGAAATCAGTTGAGAAATTATTTGTGGTATAATGTCGGAATAAATATTACACTCGAATTTCATAAAAGACTGTCAAAGGAAGGCAGGTGCTGGGTTGACCTGAGGTTACTCCCGGCCACAGAATACAGAAGCATGTGACCTTGCACCGGCATCCGGTATTGCAAACGTGGGAGCGAAAAGTTTGGGCAGATGGATATATAAGCAACCGAGAGATGATTTGGCCAGTTTTATCTCAGACATTACAAGATAATATGAGGTCCACGTACCAGACTAGAGTTCTAGGGGCCGCATCGACGAACTGGCCGAGAATAACCAAGGAAATAAAATGGTAAATAATAAATATTCAAGTCATCTGTTATCCTTGATAACGGAACAAACTCTTACATTACATAACAATAATACGTTGATTTGATATTAACAATAAAGATGTTGTATTATTATAAGACACTGTTTGGACATAGGGGTTTCGATTCTTGACAAGCACTTTCCGTTTCTACAAGTGTTAAGTGGATGTGCGGGTGGTGGGAAGGTATGAATGTATTTATTCTCGACCCAGTTATGGATATGTAGGATATGTATTTGGACAAAAACATTGTTAGCTCAAAAAAAAAAAAAAAAAATTAATACCATATCCGCTTGTAAATAAAGAAAAAAAATATTCTTATAACCCAAAATATTTTCCGTCCTGGGTCTGACTATAAACTACATCCGCGTCCTAGGTAAGACGATAAACTACATCCGCGTCTTGGGTAAGACGATAAACTACATCCGCGTCCTGGGTAAGACGATAAACTACATCCGCGTCCTGGGTAAGACGATAAACTACATCCGACTGCAAGGCCTTTGATCAGAAGGTTTTGAGGAGCATAGAAACATCTCTTACTTGCTGGTGTTCCCAGGTTCACTCTGACCTGGGGTGGTAGCACCTGTCAGGGTCTCAGCTATGGACAAATAGTTGCCCCCACCTCCCGAAAGTGATCAAAACACTATGAAAGTATAAAAATAAGTTTTAATGCCAGCAATACATTTTTGAAAAAGAAAAAAAATTATTACCAGCAACAAATTTTTGAAAAAATATATTACCAGTAATATATTTTTGGAAAAAAATATCACCAACAATAAAAATCTTGTCGGCATTAAATAACCCATTGAGGTTGATATGCTGTAAAGCAAGACAAATCAAACCAAACCAAAGCAAAACAAAGCAAAATATGTTTCGGCTTTAAATAACCTACAAAGGGTTGATAATCCGTAAAAATCTCCAAGTATTGATTGATGTGATAGTGACACATTATACTTGCTGCTGATTAATTGAACGGTGCTTTGAAGAAACATATTTGAAACTTAGTGAACAATTCTCATATATGTTTCGAGCTTTTCTTCAGGTGAGAGATCTTCTCAAACACATGATTTCATGTCTGTATTATTTCCCTTAAGTTACTGACAATACCTACTCATAATAAAGTCTAGGGCTCTAACTTTCCTTTACTCTTATTAACTCTACGCCAATTGCAAGACCCAAGGACCATTCAAGATAGAGGGTTACCGAATGAGATTATTATATGAACGTAAAAGAAGGATATAAGAAGCGCAGCTATAAGAAGAGGTAGGGGGAAAAATGGTTGACCCTAGACTTGAAGAGGTTAAGAATGTAGCGATTGTGGAAGTATTCTCTTGGGAGTCTGTTCCATAAAGTAGCGGTCCTTGCTAAGAAGCTGTTTAAATAGAACTGTCCCGCTTACCAAGAGAATGGGGAAGACTTGTTTCAGTGTACGTCGCATGATGATTCTTAGCTGTAAGGGTTTGAAATGGTGGAACTATGGAATATAGTTCGCCAGAACATTTGATTGGAAATAGAGATAGAGTAACGAGAGACTTGTGACGTTTCGTCTATGGGTAACACCTTACCCATAGACGAAACGACGCAAGGTGGAAAACTCACAATGTTGCGTCGATGCTTTTGAGCTCTGTCAAGGCTGGAATGTGAGTATTGGGCAACTCTGTGCCATTTTCTGGTTTGATCTGACTCTTGTAATGATAGATCATGGGAAGTACCTTCTGGAGCAGTAAAAAGGAACCGACCATTTTTCCAGCATCTGTCGTATAATTAGATTATTGGGTTGACTATACAGGTAGCAGGTTATTGATGTACAGATTTTGTTTACTTGCAAACATTCTCAATGGTGAATTTTTACCTGGTGTGTATTTCTGAGGTGTGTTTGTAAATTTTCAATTAGTATATAAAGGGCATATTTTATCGATAAACAATCCTTGGTTGTTTATCAGTAGACGACGAGTTTCCCTATTGGTTGGATGTGATAGCATTGGAATGGATATAGGTTAAGAATGTCGTAATCTCTGCCCTCCTAAAGAAGATAGATAGATAGATAGATAGATAGATAGATAGATAGATGAACAGACCAAGATAGATAGAAAGAGAGGCAATCAAACAAAATTTAGATATATAGATAGATAATGAAGAGACTGACATATATATATATATATATATATATATATATATAGATAGATAGATAGATAGATAGATAGATAGATAGATGAACAGACCAAGATAGATAGAAAGAGAGACAATCAAACAAAAATTTAGATATATAGATAGATAATGAAGAGACTGACATATATATATATATATATATATATATATATATATATATATATATATATATATATATATATATAGATAGATAGATAATAATGAATAGATAAGAGATAGACAGACAGATAGATAGATAGATAGATAGATAGATAGATAGATAGATAGATAGATAGATAATGAATAGACAAGAGATAGATAGATAGATAGATAGATAGATAGATAGATAGATAGACTGTGATAGTGTTGTGGAGTTATTTCGCAGTGGAGGCTTGTATTTGTACTAAATCGGTCCTAAATAGTTCGACATACAAAAACGTTAGGAACTTGATATATTAGGTATTACGCAGAGTAATCTGTTGTGGTCACTGACTACTTTCGTATTCGACTAACTGTTGTCCGACATCGACTGACCCTCGTTTCTATTACTACTCCTATTAGATGGGAGAGTCTATTAACTATAGAATAGGTGTGTTTCACTATAATAGATAGATAGATAGATAGATAGCTAGATAGATAGAAAGAGAGACAATCAAACAAAAATGTAGATATATAGATAGATAATGAATAGACTGAGATAGATAATGAATAGACAGACATAGATCGATCGTTCGATAGATAGATAATGAACAGACTGATATATATGTATATATATGTGTGTATATATATATATATATGTGTATACATATATATATATATATATATATATATATACAGATAGATAGATAGCTAATGAATAGACAAGAGTTAGACGGACAAACAGATAGATAGATAGATAGATAGATAATGAATAGACTGTGATAGATACATAGCTAGCTAGATAATGAATAGACTGTGATAGATAGCTAGATAGATAGATAATGAATGGACAATAGATTGATAGATAGACAGATAATGAATGGTCAATAGATTGATAGATAGACAGATAATGAATGGACAATAGATAGATAGATAGATAGATAGATAGATAGATAGATAGATAGATAATGAATAGACTGTGATAGATAGATAGATAGCTAGATAGATAGATAATGAATGGACAATAGATTGATAGATAGACAGATAATGAATGGACAATAGATTGATAGATAGACAGATAATGAATGGACAATAGATAGATAGATAGATAGATAGATAGATAGATAGATAGATAGATAGATAGTGAACAGACCGAGATAGATAGAAAGAGAGACAGTCAGAGTGAGAATGATTTAGATGAGGCGTTGGCATATCTTATTGATAATTTTCAGATTAGTGTGTGTAGAGGGGGGATGTGATTTGTTGTCATTGTTAATAATGAAGTTTAAAGTCCCTCCGCCCAAATTAAAGAAATGAAGGAAAAAGGAAAATCAAAGAGAAAGAATTGAAAGAAAGAAAAAGTAAAAGAAAAAGAAATCACATACAGAAAATGAGAAAAAATTAAAAAGGAAAGTGGGAAGAAGAAAAGAGCAAAAGAAAAAAAAAGAAAGAAGGAAACAGAATCAGAAAACAGATTCAAGATGAGATGAACAAATGGAAGTCAGAAAAACCTTATTTTAAAGAAAGCTGAGAATAAGTAAATTAATAAATATTCAAAATAAATATAAGTCCAAAAACAAACAAAAAAAAAAATGAAAGAAAAAGGCAAGAAGTATGTCGGGTTTTAAAAAGAAGAACTTTGAAATAAAGAATGTGCACTGGAGTTGGGTTTAAAATGTAGGAGCAAATTGGACTGCAATTCAGATAAAACCCAGTTGAAAAAGAAACCGGAGACCAAAAAGCAAATGAATAGCCAAAGAAAACCGAAAGTAATGGCTAAATTCTGAAAGCAGTTACATGAGCGAGATGTCGGGGACTGTTTGCTGGATACTTACTGATGCATGGTGCAATTGCCGACTGACTCTGTTGGTAGCCTTTGGCGCACATATTGCAAGTTAGACCAGTGACACCATCTTTGCAAGGGCACTGGCCCGTCGTTTGGTTGCATGTCTGGCCCAGCGAACCAACAGGGTGGCATTCACAACCTGGGAAAAAAACAACGAAAAGACAAACGTTAGAGACAATAATACAATTAAGAATAACAAACTAAAGATTAAATATCTCTTTCTTTCTTTTTTTATTTCTCTCTCTCTCTCTATTTCTCACTCTTTCTTTTTATCTCTCTATCCCTCTATTTCTTTATCTCTCTCGTTGTCTCTCTTTCTCTGTCTTTCTCGCTCTCTTTATCCTTCACATTCTCCCTCTTTCTCTATTTATCTCTCTATCTCTTTACCTCTCACTTTCTTTCTCTCTTTATCTCTCCCTCTAATATTTCTATGCAAGATCTTTACGATCATGACTTTCCGCATATTTTTGTATTTTGTTGTCTTAAACAATATTTTATCTTTTACAACTTTTTTCTAGTTTCTGTATCCATTTTCCCAAATTTGTCAAGCGCTTTCGTCTACTGCTCTTGCTTTCGATTTGTCCTTTGAGTGTTAACTTCTCTATACCTTCTTTCCTCATTATCTATTTCAATTATGTTACATACCTCTTTATTATTATTATTATCATCATCAGTTTCTTTGTTTCGTTTCTTTTGCTGACATTCTCATTTATCACATACTCTATCTATGATGTTCTCAACAGTCATCGTTAGAACCATATATTGACGGCCTCAAGATTTATTTTCCTTTGAGACGAATTTTTACAGCATTCACTGTCTTTTTTTTGAGGTTTAACAGTCCTTACTGCATTATGACAACTATATCTTTTTGTAATAAATCTTCATCCATCAATTTTGTAAGTAGGAACTATTGCCTCAATATCTGTCTATATTTCTGAGATGAGGTATTACTATTTACATTTTTCGTCCTCATCTTTGTTGCCATATTTATCACAACTTTTCGGCCATTGTACGCTCCGGCCTTCTTCAGGTGGTTGGAATGTCGAACTGAACTCTTTATTTCGCTCACTGGGGTAGACTGTCATGTCTAATGGATGTCAATCATCAGTTATCTCCTGTTAATTACCCTCTCCAAAAAGTGTGAGTTCAATAAGGCAGTGGAGGACTTGGAGAGGGGAATTAACAGGAGATAACTGATAACTGACATCCATTAGACATGGCACGTGGAACTAGAACAGTTTATCCCAGCGAGAGAAATAAAGGGTTCAGTTCGACATTCCAACCACCTGAAGAAGGGCGGAACATACAACGGCCGAAACGTTGTGATAAATAGGACAACAAAGATGATGACGATAGTCCGAACAATGTAAATAGTGAACTATTACCTCCCTCATCTTTAGCCTTGAGTTCTGTAAATTAAATTCTCCATGCTTCTTTTTTTCATAATGTGTCCAAAAAATTTTAACTGTCTTTTCTTGATAGGTGCCAGTTTTTTGATCGTTCCTATCGTCCTTAAAATTTCCTTATTTTTCACATAGTCCTGATGATAAACTTCATCCGACAGCAAGGCTTCTGATTGGAAGATTGAAAGTTTTGAGGAGCATGGAGGCATCTCTTAGTTGCTTTTGTTCTTGGGTCCACCCTAACACGGGGTGGTAGCGCCTGTAAGGGCCCCAACTTTGGACAATTAGTAAACCCCAAAACAAAAATCAAAACAATAGGAAAGAATGAAAATATATTTTGATAGTAAAAAATACCAACAATACATTTTTATAAAAATATTACCAATTTACGTTTTAGTAGGGAAATTTCTATCACTATATATTTTATAAAATATGACCAAAAATACATTATTATAGTAAAATTACTAACAATACAGTACAAAAAATATTTTAAAAAAATACAATTTTATAATAAAATTACCAGCGATAGTTTTTTATACAAAAATTATCAAAAAATACATTTTTGTAGTGACTTAACGGCAATACATTTTTTAAAAAAATTACCAAATAATGCATTTTTTATCTGCAAACTATATACCCCCCCAACCCGCCTCAAAAAACAAAAAATAGTTTGCCCTGAAAGTGTAAAACTATGGTATCTGTAATGTTAAAATATGTGGACGGCATTAAATAACGCAAACATTTCACATATTCTGTTTATGGTCTTCTCAACATTCGTCAATTGATCCAAATTGTAAGAAAATTGTTCAGCCATATAAGTGTGTGTGTGTTTACATATTACAAGTACTTTCGTTTCTAATTTCATTTTCAATCCCTTGCTATCTTACTCGGGTTATGAAAACTATCTTTCATAATTTCTATGCTTATTCGAATTTCTCTATCATATTTCTGTGCTAGTTCGAATTTATCTGTCATATTCTATGCTTGTTTGGATTTCTCTGTCATATTTTCCGCCTCCTTCTTATTGCAATAACCACAAACATGAAATTCCGTACCTGCCGATAGTAAATCATAGGCCAACTATAAGTCAGTTAGTTATGTGCAATGCGTGTTACACGACTGATGAGGCAAATTTTTCACGCAAAAGATTGCCATTTCTTTCTGCGGTAGACCAGATGCCATCCTGCTATTTACCCATAGCTTGGGGGAGAAGAAGAGGATTCATACCATTCCCAAGGGTATTAGCACGTAAGTAAATTCGAACTCGGCTCTCCGATTACTCAGTCCGAGCCGTTATCGTTTACTCCACCGTGCCTCCAACACATCTAGTTCCACCATTTCAAACATTTACAATTAAGATCCTCCATGCCATACATATACACAGGTGTGAACCATACCTATTATGTTCGTATTTCATTGGTAAGAAGGGTGTTCCATTCGGACAGTTTCCACCCAAAGTCACCTACTTTAAGTAATACACTCCCTAGAGGATGCTTTCCCGAACACTAGAGTCTTAAGCTTTTCAAATTTAAGATCAACCGTTATCTTTTCTATGTGTCTTAATCTACAATTATTACATTCATAAAACAACCGCATGACTGATAGACTGAGATGTAGCTAAACAGAAATAGCGACCGATACGGTGATATAGCTAATCAGAAATAGCGATAGATACGGAGAGGTAGCTAATCAGAAATAGCGATAGATACGAAGATGTAGCTAATCAGAAATAGCGACAGATACGTAGATGTAGCTAATCAGAAATAGCGAGAGAAACGGGAATGTAGCTAATCAGAAATAACGAAAGATACGGAGAGGTAGCTAATCAGAAATAGCGACAGATACGAAGATTTAGCTAATCAGAAATAGCAATAGATAAAAAGATGTAGCTAATCAGAAATAGCGACAGATACAAAGATGTAGCTGATCATAAATAGCAACAGATACGGGGATGTAGCTAATCAGAAATAGCGACCCATACGGAGATGTAGCTAATCAGAAATGCCGATAGATACTAAGATGTAGCTAATAAGAAATAGCGACGGATACGGAGATGTAGCTAATCCGAAATAGCGATAGATAAGGGGATGTAGCTAATAAGAAATAGCGATAGATAAGGGGATGTAGCTAATAAGAAATAGCGACGGATACGGAGATGTAGCTAATCCGAAATACCCTCGGATACGGGGATGTAGCTAATCAGAAATAGCGACGGATACGGAGATGTAGCTAATCTGAAATAGCCTCGGATACGGGGATGTAGCTAATCAGATATAGCGATAGATAAGGGGATGTAGCTAATAAGAAATAGCGACGGATACGGAGATGTAGCTAATCAGAAATAGCGACGGATACGGAGATGTAGCTAATCAGAATTAGCGACAGATACGGGGATGTAGCTAATGAGAAATAGCGACAGGTACGGCGATGTAGCTAATCAGAAATAGCGACGGATACGGAGATGTAGCTAATCAGATATGCCGAAAGATTCGCGGATGTAGCTAATCAGACATAGCGACTGATACGGGGATGTAGCTAATCAGATATAGCGACAGATACGGAGATGTAGCTAAGCCGAAATAGCGACAGATACGGGGATGTAGCTAAGCATATATAGCGACAGATACGGCGATGTAGCTAATCAGAAATTGCGACAGATACGGGGTGTAGCTAATCAGAAATAGCGAAATATACGACGATGTAGCTAATCAGAAATAGCGATAGATACGGGGATGTAGATAATCAGAAATAGCGATAGATACGGGGATGTAGATAATCAGAAATAGCGACGGATACGGGGATGTAGCTAATCAGAAATAGCGACAGATACGGAGACGTAGCTAATCCGAAATAGCCACAGATACGGAGACGTAGCTAATCCGAAATAGCCACAGATACGGGGATGTAGCTTATCCGAAATAACGACAGATACGCGGATGTAGCTAATCAGAAATAGCGACAGA